CAATACAAATAGCCTTACCTTTTTGGCCCATGGATTCTGGAACGCCATTGACTGGTTATACTGCCCCATCCTCTGGCCCATCTTTGTGTTGCCTTTATTGAACTGGCCTTGCTTCATGGCTTTGTTCATTTGTGCCTTATTCATTTGCCCCTTGTTCTTCCCCATCTTCATAGCCATCTTGTTCATTTGCTTCTGTCCCTTGAATCCCTTGCCATAGTGGCCCTCTCCCATGGCTGACTTCATGCCAAGTCCAGCCCGTTTGCTGAAACGTCCCTGGGGCGGTCCTCCTTTCCCCCCCCTTTGGAAGGTCATTGGGGGTGGCTTCTGGCCAATCATCTTCCCAGTTAGGAGGTCAAAGTGCACTGTGTTCTTCCCTGGCTCTTCAGCCATTCCTAAACTAGGGCCCCTACTTTGGATTTGTGCCTGAAGGCTCTGGAGCTGTGCTTGAAGACCCCTTACAGGTAGCATGCCCTGCTGTGTAGGGTTCCTAGGTGGGCCTTGCTGTGAAAGTGGCTTCTTGGTTGTGGGCACTGGTTTCTTGGGGAGTTCATTAAAGCGCTCAGGCTCCTTACAGGGGGCCATGCTGGCTGGAGGGGCAATCTCTGCAGTCTTTGCACCACCTCGGTTGGCCATATCAGGGGGCGGCAACAAGCCACCTGAGACGTTGAACTGAGCCTGTGCCATCTTCTGCATGGCACTTGTGAATTTATTAAACATATCTGCATCAGGAAAGCCTAAGAGACTTGGCATTATGCCAAATGGCTGCTGCTGCTTCTGGTTGTTATTCCCAAATTTGTTCATCTGGTTGCTGCCTGGTAGATCTAAGAGCCCTGGAGCAGGGTTGAATTTCTGCCCTGTGTTTCCCATTGAGTTTTGTTTCCCCGAATTTGGGAAACCCAGTAAGCTCTGTGATGGTTTGTTAAGCTGCTGCTGCTGCTGCTGTTGCTGCTGCTGCTGCTGCTGCTGCTGTTGCTGCTGCTGTTGCTGCTGCTGTTGCTGCTGCTGCTTCTGTTGTTGCTGCTGCTGCTGTTGCTGTTGCTGCTGCTTGTTTGTGTTGTTTCCAAAATTATTTTGCTGGTTCATATTTGGTGTTCCAAGTAAGCTCTGCGATGTGTTGGGTGCATTTGAGGAGTTGGACATGTTGGATTTGTTATGCTGAGGTGGCTTTCCAAACCTGTCCATCTGGTCCGAGTTCCTAAAGTCATCACGGTCATTTCCACCGCTATATCTGTTAGAGTAGCCCTGGTTTCCCCCGTAGTTTTCTGGGGGATCCTCATTATTAAATCTGTTCATCTGGTCCGAATTTCCAAACTTGTTTGAAGGGCCAGAATTACCAGGCCTGTTCCCTTGATTTGATTTGTTGAAGCTGTCTGAGTAGTCTGAATTCCCAAAGCGGTTGTGTGGATAAGAGCTTGAGTAGCTGTCTCCCTGGTCATTGCCTCCGAACCTGTTTGGCATGTCTTTGCCTCCATATCTGTTGCCTAAAGGTGGGGTTCCATATCCACCACTGTCATTGTCATTATTTCCAAATCGGCCTGGAACATTGGATTTTCCAAAGCTCTCTCCCTGATCTTTGTTTCCAAATCTGCCTGGGGGAGGAGGAGGGTTTGAGTAATTGTTTGGTTGGTCCTTGCTACCGAAGCGACTTGGTGGAGGAGGGGGTGGCTGGTCATACTTGTTCGGTGGATCCTTGCCTCCAAAGCGTCCTGGCGGGGGAGGTGGAGGAGTTCCATAGTTGTCCACTTGGTCCTTGTTCCCGAAACGGCCAGGTGGAGGTGGCTGTGTTCCATAGTTGCTCGGCTGTTCCTTGTTCCCAAATCGGCTGGGTGGGGGCGGTGGAGTTCCGTATAAATTAGGTATATCTTTGTTGCCGAATCGGCTTGGCGGTGGAGGTGGAGTCCCATAGTTGCTTGGCTGGTCTTTATTCCCAAATCGGTTTGGTGGGGGTGGCGGGGGGGGCTCATAGTTGTTTGGCTGATCTTTACTTCCGAATCTGTTTCCTGGTGGGGGAGGCGGGGTTCCATAGTTCTCACTTTGGGTTTTATTTGTAAACCTATTCGTCATATAACTTCCGTATTCCTCAGACTGGTCCTTAGTGCCAAATTTGTTATTTGACTGAGTCCCACTTCCATAGTTCCCAGACTGACCGGAGCCTCCATAGCCTTCCTGCATACCTGAACCACCATAGTAATCCATCTCTCCATATCTTTCTGATGGATGTGAGTAGCCATAGCCACTATACATCCCGTAGTCACTATAATACCCTGAATGCCCGTAGTCATCATAGTAGCCGCCCATCATGTATGGATTCCCGTAGCCGCTCCCATACCTATTGGAATTCTGCATGTCCATCATTTCGTAGGAAGCGTCATACTGCCCTTGCTTCTGCGTTCCACTTCCATACCTCTCTGTCTGGGATGCGTCCGTTTTGTTGGCATCACCACCAGACTCAGTATACTGTTGGGGTCTCTGGGATGTATTTCCAAATTTGTTGGACTGACTGGAGTCGTGGGTGTCCATTGAATTGTACGATCCTTGGTACTGCGATTGCCTCTGCATCGTGGTCCCCCCAAATTTGCCAAATTGGTTTGAATTCTGCACTGTGTTTGCTACTGGGGGGGCTGTTGCATAGCCTTCATGCTCCGACTTGCCCTTTTCGGCAAATCGGTTGTACTGGTAATACATGCTGTTGTCCATCTTGCCTGTCGACTGTGTCACTTGCTGGGCATTTCTGGAAGGATTGAAAAGCTGATTAACTAATGTAAACTCACATTTAGTTGTTGTTTAACCCAATGGCGCCGGGTGTACAAAACAAAAAAAAAACTACGCTTAAGCAAACAAAGGCGGCGCGCCGACTTTGAGCGCGTGAGTAGGGGACATCAGCCCGAATCACTGGCTCGCCGGGCTTTGGCGCGCCGCCGGCTCGTTTGGCTGCACGCCAGCTTTCGAGCGCTTTGTTTACACGCCGATCGGCGTCACCCGGCACCAAAGGGTTAACCCAATGGTGCCGGGGAAAATGAACAAAAAATGGGGAAAATATTGTGCCCACTTTCTATGTTTTTCGTGAAATGTCTGCCGATAGATGGCTCTGCTAGCGCCTGATTTAAATGGCGGGACAAATTTTCCCTAGTGCTATGAACATCGATGGTGTTATTTTTATCATAAACATTATAATCTTTATAATATTTTTTAACATTAGTAACAGCAAAATAAGATTACGTAAAATATTTCGTAAATCAAAGAAACGGGTAAACGGGCGAGACGACCAGTGCTCGTAGTTGGCTCATTGGTGATTTAGTACAAGTATTGCCATCTATGCGTAAAAACAATCAAACAAGTACTCACGGTGGGCATAGCACGTACGTACACGTCATACCCGGCACCAAGGGGTTAAGGGCCTATCACCGTAATCTTTTTTTTTTTTTTTTTTTTTAATATTCAGAAAAATGTAATTTGGCAACACCTTCCTTAGAATGTTAAAGAAATAACAAAAGAAAAAAAAGAAACAGTAGCCTTTCTTTTTCACACCCCCCAAAGCATACAAGTGGTAAAGCACACCACTCTGTCGGGAGATGTACCTGATGAAATTCTATTCAAGTACATATGTGTGCATGCAAGTGCGTCTGTGTGCATGCAAGTAGGTGTGTGTGCATGCAAGTAGGTCTGTGTGCATGCAAGTAGGTCTGTGTGCATGCAAGTAGGTCTGTGTGCATGCAAGTAGGTCTGTGTGCATGCAAGTAGGTCTGTGTGCATGCAAGTAGGTCTGTGTGCATGCAAGTAGGTCTGTGTGCATGCAAGTGTGTATGTGTGCATGCAAGTACGTCTGTGTGCATGCAAGTACGTATGTGTGCATGCAAGTAGGTCTGTGTGCATGCAAGTACGTCTGTGTGCATGCAAGTGTGTATGTGTGCATGCAAGTACGTCTGTGTGCATGCAAGTGTGTATGTGTGCATGCAAGTACGTCTGTGTGCATGCAAGTGTGTATGTGTGCATGCAAGTGTGTATGTGTGCATGCAAGTGTGTATGTGTGCATGCAAGTGTGTATGTGTGCATGCAAGTGTGTATGTGTGCATGCAAGTGTGTATGTGTGCATGCAAGTGTGTATGTGTGCATGCAAGTGTGTATGTGTGCATGCTAGTATGTATGTGTGCATGCAAGTGTGTATGTGTGCATGCAAGTATGTGTCCATGCAAGTAAATAAATAAATATATCACACATACTTGTAACCATATTAGTAAACTGACCATTTTCAACACATTCACCAACCAACAACCTTGATGTGATGTGATAAACCCTGATAGCAGGGGAGGGCATGAAGTAGATCTGGGAAATTACTGAAATATCTTAATCTCGTATGAAGATAAAGCCCGCTTAAACTTACATGAAGGAGAATTTGATAAATTTCTTACTCTGCACAAATTGATATGTCTGGCCCATATTACAGGCAAGAGGGGCATGTGAGTGGGAGTTTTAAAATGTCAGTGCTACTGTTGGTTCATATTCTACATGCAATATCCATAACCATCAGTGCTGATTATAGCATTATTTATTCGGAAGTAACACATTCAGATTTCTTTAGAAAGAGAGGATATTGAAGATGATGGGAAATTGTGGCAGTCTTGCGTGGCAGATGTGCTCATAACCTAATAAATCAAATCAACCAAAATCTATCGTAGCAGCAGCTGACATGCAAACCGCCCATTATAGGACCATGGGTATGCTCAACATTTGATAAACCCGTATATTCATACTCAAAATATAGAAACTTCTGATTTTACCGTAAAAGAGGGTGGTCCAGTTGATATACACGAGTATATCACACATATATATCACTTCGGGTATTGTTTGAGTATTAAGCAACATGAGAATCGCTCCTCCAAAACATTTTATTGTTAGAAATTACTGAAATATCTTAATCTCGTATGAAGATAAAGCCCGCTTAAACTTACATGAAGGAGAATTTGTTCCTGTATAAAAGTATAAGACAATGCAAGTTTAAT